CATAAAAGTGGGCCTCGGTCAATAATGTTAAGAGAGATGTTCACCTCGCATTAGGCCAGACAGAACGAATCGTTACGCTGATAGCAGCAGCTGTAAACTGTGCTCGCTTGGACAAAAGATAAGCACGTAATCTCATCCGATATCAGCCGCACTACCCATTACTCGCGTATCCTATCGCGAAGCGGACACAAGCGCTATTCTTGAAACACGTCATGCGAGGCTCGAAGCCGCATACGCCCGCCCATTCGCCCATACACGTCCGCATCAACGCGACGCCGCTTGAAACTGCGCCAGAACTATAATGCCTGCTGCCGCTCAGGGTCTCGCTTATCAGCTGCACGCACTCACGCCTTAGGCACGCGTAGTACGCGAGAACGAAAAAGCGGGTATAAAGATGCGACCGATGTCGTATCAAGTACTCGCCAATAAAAAAAAAACAGCGTATATACGAGGTCAATTTAGATTACTACTATTGATTGATTGATTGATTGATTGATTGATTGATATGTGGGGTTTAACGTCCCAAAACCACCATATGATTAGGAGAGACGCCGTAGTCGAGGGCTCCGGAAATTTCGACCACCTGGGGTTCTTTAACGTGCACCCAAATCTGGGCACACGGGCCTACGACATTTCCGCCTCCATCGGAAATGCAGCCGCCGCAGCCGGGATTCGAACCCGCGACCTGCGGGTCAGCAGCCGAGTACCTTAGCCACTAGACCACCGCGGCAGGGCAGATTACTACTATCCATGCCGTGAAGTCGGCAGTGTCTGTGTTGTCACCGATACGTTGTTAATCAAACGGCTTGTTAAAGCCTTACTCAATTGGCGGTGAATGTCTCGAATTTCCGGGAAGGTAGTTCAGTGCCTGCAACACACCAGTGTAGATGTGACTGTCCTGGGTTCGACCACTAAATTGGCTCCGTCAAACTATTGCGCAATCCCGAAGCGAGGCGCCTGCTGTAGCCTTCGACAGCTTTAAGCGGCATGGGGACTCGCATTAACGCGTTAATTCAACGCAAGCGAGTACAGTCTACGGTTGGTGTAATTGAAAGCATTGCGTTCTCTCGAGCAGCTTATCGGCACGCTCACGAGGGCGGGTAAAACGTAGGCGGATGTGTCTCTCTGCTCGGGCGTCTGACAAAGAGCGATAACGAAAGTAAGTGGAATCGTGACACCGGCCAAAGATGGCGGTATCTCTGGCGACACTTCTGGCTGTGCGGTATCTCAGCCGCAGCATCAACGAACACAAGTTCGTGATTGCTGGCCCGCGACGGGCTGGCATGATTTCTTTATTAAGCGCATGCTAACACGCGACGAAAAACGATAAAGCACTTGTGTGTGTCGCAGTTTCGTTTTGCGTCTCTTGGCTCGGGAGTGTGCGCTTGAGAAGAAACGACGGATTACCGACTCGCCCAAAAAATGCGCATGGTGTTCGCATGCACATTCCGAAACGGGACAAGATTGCACTGCAGGGACACGTTCTATGTCCTTCACAATGACGTTCGAAACCAAGAATGAGCAAAGAAGGATAGCTTGACTAACTCGTTTTCTCCACTACATGCGCTGGACAGCGATCAATCCTCATCTGGCCTTCCTCCATTTAGTCTGATTGTTTTGGTGATCGACACCCTGAATCTGAAAGCTTGTCCTCATTTACCCCCATTTACCTGCACATTATTGCGGACGAAAAGGGCAGCAGGAATGTGCATTGACTGCCCAGGGACTGACGATGTATGTTTTAACGAGGTGTGATCTCGCAACCGAAACTCGCCCACCCCGGCTGTCACATTGACCTATGTGAGAGAACAAAAACCCTGGCCATGAGTTGCTTGCACACATCGCAGTTAACTCGGCCTCTGCGACCGTGCCCCGTCCAGGCGCCATGGCCCGAGCACCTTGCCGCGCGCAGCAGCCTGGGACGCAGCACCTGGCACGAGGTGACTCATCCTGGCACGCAGCAGCAAGCGGCCACTGACCCCACTCTCTCTCGCGGGCGGACCTCCTTTCCGGCGGCCTTTCATGCCACGCTAAGCCAGCAGTTTACCGCCGCCGCTCGCATTAATAACAACGTCAGCCACGTCTTCGCAATGCTCTCCGCACGTGACGTATTGAATGTGTGCTGCAGCTATTTCTTGCAGTGAATCCCGCCATATGGCACCACCCCCTTCACAGCAGCCGAAAAGACACTCGTGCATCAACTTCCTCGCCTCTCAGTGTAGTGACAAGCTGCGAATTCGGGCTCTGGGAATGCTTGAAGAAGGCTTTCGGAAAACTGAAACGCTGCGTATGGAAATGCGGCCGCCTGAAATCGAAGCCATGTCTTGGGATTTAGCGGCTGGGTACATCTTAGCCGCTAAGCTAACATACCGTATCTTAGCGGATAAGGTGGATGTCAAAAGATCTTTTTTTTTTTTCAAAGGCCATTAATTGTGTTCCACAACTGTCATAAGCTGGTGCGTCAGAGCATATCCGGTCGCAAAGGACAGCTCGGTCTTTTTTTCTCCTTTTCGATCGGCAGACCAAATTCGTGTGACGTAAAAGGACGATATACGGTCATCCCGACACGCCGCTACGTATGTACGCTCGCCAGAGGCGATGAGCGGTCAGTTCAAAGCACGATGTGTGGTTCACAGTAGGCGGTTCACTTTGGCAAATATCTCTTACAAAAAAAATATGAAAAACTTTAGAAGAAATGTTAAGCGATTACACGACAGCGCTACCCTGCACAGCCATTCCGGGCTGGTACATAACTATACATATGTTTTTAATACGTTACTTAGCCCTACAACATCAACGTACATTACATAACATTATGCAGCTGTGTTTCTTCGGTCGGATATATTCTGAACTCATATTAGTCAACTCTCCGTGCGGCTGCGTGCCCCACCGCAGCGGTTGGGCTGGTTTGCGAACGCTCGACGACGAAAACATTAAAAATCAAATATATTAAGCGCGCTTCCTGTTTACGGTGAGTGAAGAACGTTAACACACAAGGGGAAAAAAAGTCCGTTTCGCAATATTGTGTCAGTACTCCTCTAAGCCGAGTTGGCAGGTTGGGATAGATGTGGCTATACATAGCTCCAGATGAGGCCAACCTGTACAAACACTAATTTCAAGACGCCCACTCAAACGACCCTGTGGTCAAGCTCTTACGTGACGCTTGACCGCCCATTCGTCTGCTTTCTGCGTAGCAGGCCCCTTTTGCGCAGTCTTAAATGTGGGTCGCAAGAACATGGCACCGTGCAAGCACAGTACGAGCCAGAGCCGTTGCCATGCGCGATGAGGATTGCCTCATGGCGCATGGCAACGTTTCCCTCTGCGCTATATAACACGGTACACGCGGGAGGAAGGAAACCATAGCGCCGATGGGCTGCAGTCCAAGTTTGTGAGGTAAAACATTTCGCTCAAAGCTAACCAGTGCTCTCTTTCTTTGCTGAATTAAAATACCGGTGTAATATATGCTGTAAATTTAGCTAAACATGGAGGATCGCTTGCTATGTTATATGCATATTATATTATGCGCGATTATGCGCCTCGTGTACGAGCTTACAAACAGATATTTCAACAGCGCTCAAAGCTTTAACAACCAGTGTGCATGGCAGCTTGGGCTAGTTGGTATGGCATGACGATAGTTATAGCGCGAGAACAAAACAACGACACGGAGACAAGAAGGACACGAAAGACACGAGCGCTCGTGTCTTTCGTGTCCTTCTTGTCTCTGTGTCTCGTCATTTTGTTCTCGCGCTATAACTATCGTTTAACAACCACTTTAACTCCGGGTCGGCTACCTTTGTACCGATTCTGACGAACTACATAAACTACAATAATAAAACCAATATAATAATAATAATAATAATAATAATAATAATAATAATAATAATAATAATAATAATAATAATAATAATATCTAGCGTTTAGCGTCCCAAAACCACCGTATGATTATGAGAGATGCCGTATAGTGGAAGGCACCGGAAATTTCGGCCACCTGGGGTTCCTTAACGTGCACCTAAGTCTAAACACACGGACCTAAAACATTTTCGGCACCGCCACGGTGGTCTAGTGGCTAAGGTACTCGGCTGCTGACCCGCAGGTCGCGGGATCGAATACCGGCTGCGGCGGCTGCATTTCCGATTGGAGGCGAAAACGCTGTAGGCCCGTCTGTTTAGATCTGAATGCACGTTAAAGAACCCCGGGTGGTCAAAATTTCCGGAGCCCTCCACCAGTGCGTCTCTCATAATCATGCGGTGGTTTCGGGACGTTAAACCACAGATATCAATAACACATTTCGCCTGCATCGAAAATGCAGACGCCGCAGCCGGAATTCGATCGCGCGGCCGGCCATAATAAAACAAATTGATCGAGTGATGGCCAGACGGGCACGTATGGTGTCGCTTATGAGCCGCCAAAAACGAAAGAGTTGCGCATATGTATAACCCGACTGTAAAAGAAACATGTAATTTCTTTTTCTCTATAAGTGCCTTTCACCGACAGAGCTGTATCTCCAGACCACAAACATCCGCACATCCGGGGCAGCGACAATATGTACAGTGACATCAGCGACGCCGAAAGCAATGCAACAAAACTTCTAAACAAAAAAATAAAACGGAAGGATAACGAAGCAAGTGAAAGCATTTAATATACAGTCCCTATCCTCACGCATATAAGAGACAGAAAGACCAGGAAATAAAAAAAAGGTCTGACAAAACACAAGTCAGCGGCAGATTGCGCCCTGAGGAAGTCCATTGGGCAGATCGACAGATAGACTGAAAGCAATGCAACAAAACTTCTAAACAAAAAAATAAAACGGGAAGGATAACGAAGCAGGTGAAAGCATTTGATATACAGTCCCTATCCTCACGCATATAAGATACAGAAAGGCGCCTGAAGAAGTCCACTGCGCAGATCGACAGAGAGAGAGTCAGAGCGCCGTGATGAGGCGGGCACGGATGCCGAACCGGCGTCATCCGGCGCGCACAAGGAGGGGGGCCCACACTCACCAGCGCCGGACTGGGCGGTTCGTCGGAGTTGCGCACATGCCACGTCAGAGTCTCCTCGACGAGAAACGCCGCGAAGGGGTCCTCGTACACGCGAATCCACTCGCGTCGCTTCCAGTCGGCGTTGTCAAACTCCACCAGAACCTGCGAGGAGCAGCAAAAACGGGTGGGGGCCGTCATTTCCACTCGATACGTTAGTTAATTTACAATTGTTGCCGTTTTCTTCCACGTATATATCTGTTGACATTGTTTTTTTTTTATCATGTAGTTCATTTTCGATTATGCTTTCTACCATTGACAATCATGTATCTCTTGAATTGTGTTTTTGCCTCCCCCTTATGTGATACCCCGCAAGGGGCCTTTAAGAGTTCGATAAATGATGATGATGATGATGATGATGATGATGATGATGCACAGCAGCCACTGCCGAAAGCGTCACAGCCGTTTCAACGGATAATGTTACACGTGAACTTTTTTTTTTTCTAAAATTAAATCTACGTAAGGAGAGGTTGGTACGAAATGTGTGACGCCGGCTACTCCTCTTGCACAACAGTCGACATCGCATATTAGGTAAAAAAAAAAAAAAAAACACAAGGCTACACACATATGTACATCGCACAACATTTACGCACCGAGTTTTTTTTTTTTTGAAGTTTTTCAGTACAGAAATGTGTCCACACAAAACATGAAAGTACACTAGGATGTCAAAGGTGAACGTGTCACCTAAATGCTGAACTGTTTTCACAAAGATATTGTAGTGAAACACCAAGAATATTGTTGTATCATGGATACTGCCATGACACAATAATGCCAGGGGTGCGTAATATATTGGGTATGACTGTCACACAAAGACGTGCATTGAATACGCAGCATTTGAAATAGTTTTATAACGAGTGAAAATGGTCCTGACAAGCAGTATATATCACCGGACGAGCGTCTGGTAGTTAGGAGTTTTTATCACACACACGAAGACACTGTATATATATATATATACACGCTAGAAATTTCGTTCGAGAGACGAATAAATTTCATTAGCAAAAATGCCACCGTACTCTTAACTATCAGACCCCATCAAATTTCGTCAGAGTTCATTTACAGCTATGGCTGTAAATGAACTCTGACGAACTGTAAACGTTAACTGTAAACTTTAAACATCCGTATGCTTTTCTTTGCATACTGCACAGGAGCTATATATCTAGACGATATGCGGAAACGCCAGCCGATGACCGGACATTGTTCGGGGCTTACTCTTGATTACGCCTTATCTATGCGTGGGCTCAGCATGTGCCACGTCAACACAGGGAATACAGAGCTTCAGTACACACAGCGATAACAAAAAGAAAAAAAAAAACATTCATGGAAACTACGCCGGCGATGAATGCAATCGAGACGTAAAAACGGCGAATGCGAAACTGACTATACCAACTACACCTGCGACTGTTCCATTCTCCTATTTTTTTAACCACGGCACTTCTATAGCAACGTACAGATTGCTTATAATCATCATTGCTGATAGTAAAAAAGGAGCTCGAAATATTAAAAAAAGTACTACGGTACTAAACCACATCGCACACCAGTAATTACCGTCATCTAGTTTGCTGTGAAGCAGTCAGAATTATAGGAAAAACAAATGGGAATGCAAATACGGTAATTACATGATATTTTTCCTTCTTTCGAGGCATTGCCAGCTGATAAAATTTGCACACAATCCGTCCATTGTAGAAAATACCGAAGTCATTAATACCAGTGTTAGCGGTAACGCGTTACAGGTAACGTCGTTACCGGTAACGCGTTACTTTTTTCGGTAACTTAGTAATGTACTCACTACAATTTCGGAACTGTAACGGGCAACGTACTTCCGTTAACATTGTTCGGTAACGTAAGGTGCCATGTTTCTCGTTTACTCGGCTGCTGACCCGCAGGGCGCGGGTTCGTATCCCGGCTGCGGCGGCTGCATTTCTGATGGAGGCGGAAATGTTGTAGGCCCGTGTGCTCAGACTTGGGTGCACGTTAAAGAACCCCAGGTGGTCTAAATTTCCGGAGCCCTCCACTACGGCGTCTCTCATAATCATATAGTGGTTTTGGGACGTTAAACCCCACATATCAATCAAATCATGTTACTCGTTACTTTTTCATTCCGAGTGTGCCACATTCCCAGAACTCGTCCCGACGAATTCCTTTGTTGCAGCGTCGGACCAGTGTCGCCTACCAGGCACTGACAAAGAAAGTATGGACGGAATTTAGTTTAGAAGGCGTTGATGATTGAATCTAGTATTGCGCATGACGTGTCGTAGAGACAAATAGCTTCACCATGTGCTAGAGTCCGAAGCCATCGCATACAACTATATAGGCAACTAACTATAAGCTCTATGACATTGCTAAGGTTCAGTGCATTTGTACAAGCAATTCTAGCTTAATTAACAGTTTGGGTAAAATCGTGTTTTTGCTTAGAAGTTCTGTGTGAAACATAAGCGTGAGCTTTAAAATATTATTACTGAGAGTTCCTGCAGCAAAAACAAACTGATTATTATTTATTATTGCTGAGTAACGGCAGAGGTAACGTCCGTTACTGTTTTTCGGTAACTGTAACGGTAACACTTTAATTTTTTTGTTGGTAACGTAACGCGTTTCTTTTTTGTTGGTGTAACGAGTAACGTATTTAGTTACTTTTTTGTTGGTAACGGATACAACAATGCTTAATACATACAAATGGCTCAGTAACTGCGGGATAAATAGAACCAGGGTTGCCGCCAACTCTCGAGTGAAATTCGCCACACGACAAGCAAAATGTCACCAAGAGTCACAATTTTTTTATTCAAACTTCGCCAAAAAAGGTCGCCACTGTGCGTATGGAGTGACGTGCCTATTCCAAATTATGTATGGTCCCGCAAAGTACGGTACCATCCATAAACCCTAAATCAAGATTGTACACAAAATGACCCGCGTTCACGCGCCCTTATCTTTCGCTGCAGCGCGTACAACACGTAGTACAGACGCTTTGAACCTTGTACCCTTCAGGTCTCGTTTGGATTGTTTCAAATTCTCTTTTTTTTTAATTTTCTTTTTTTTTTGGAAGTTTGGAACAAGCTTGATGGTGCATTGCGTAGACTGAACACTGCAGAGTTCGGGAAAAATTTTATGCGTTAGTCACATAAATCTGTGCGCACTATTGTTTGTTTCTGTGCTTTCGTTGATTTTTCTGTACCCGCTCCTGCAATGTCCCAGGCATGGGACAGCAGTACTTGTAAATAAATAAAATAAATAAAATATTGAGATTCTTCAATGTCAGTCACATCACCCACTCCACCATGGGAACACCGAGAAAGGGCAGGCATGTACTAGCAGCGTCTATGCGCCTCACAACAAAAGTTTGCTACCACTGAGGACGGGCCCCTTGCCAGCCCTACCCTTGCTTCCGGACTGCTGTTTGTGCTCATGACGACCGTGCCACTGCTCACTTAATCTTTTTCTCTTCTTTTTCTCTTCTTTTCTCCCTTTTCCCTTCCCCGCAGGCACTGCGCCGTGCTCCCGACCGGGTTGCAGAAATTAGGTGCCTTTCTTCATCTTCTAACCACTACCACCACCACCACCACAAAACTTTGTGATGGTTTCAATTGTAGCGAATACAGGATGAAGCAGCCGCTACAACAAGAGAGGGAACAACGTGGGTAGATTTCCCGCGCATTTTGGAGAATTTAGCTGCAGTGGAATCACGAGTCCGATAATCGAAGAACTCAATTACAAAGCAACGGAAATAAACTCGAAGGTGTGTACACACTGCAAGCGTATAACCGTCGCAATGCCCGCACCATGCCGTCTGTGTGGATTACGCTATACTTTCGCCTCACGGTGGTTTCTGAAGGCTGTCGAAGGGAGAGCCCGACTTCTTGGCTTATCCGAAAGGTATACACATAAATAACAAATTTAAACTCAACGTACCGAATTAAGGGGTACTATACAGCAGTGAAAGAGTCGAGGAGCTACTCGCGACAGTTGGAGCTGCGGTCGGAACACGCTGCCTAACGCCCAACTACGTCAGGCTGCGCTGTCCAGCCGAGAAGTGGACGACCGGATCTGGCTGCTTGAACGCGCCAGACGGGCAGCAAGGGACGCAGGAGTCCTGGACTGAGGACCCATCCACAAACTTTCTGCAGAACAGCGCTTGGCAGAACAGCGCTTGGCAGAACAGCTCCGGAGCTAAATAAAGTTTATTCTCTCTCTCTCTCTCTCTCATACGCGAAGCATTGAAGACGCTTAAAGCACACAAAAGAATGTAGCATAACACCACCGCTTCGCGGCATGCGAAGCAGTCTAGTGACCTAAATTGCTGGTAGGTTGCTGGCGGACGCAGTGCACCAGTGCCTCCAAGATCTATGTGAATTGGGATACGCACGAGAAACAGGAAAGACGCACTGAATTGCGCGCAAAATGCGCATTCCACCCGTGGGCGTAAAACTAACACAAATAGCAATAATGTTGTCGCCCATTCGTTTTGAAGACGCCGAGTATATATAGAATGCATAACTCAATCTAGACCTATAGCCGAAATTCGCCCATTCATAATTTCACATCTCCATAAGCCTCTCAAATCTCATCTACATAAGCCTTTCAAAAGTAGCCACCAGTGGCAACCCTGAATAGGACAGTGTTCATAGAGTTAGATAATTACCAGTATTTAAGTAATTAAATATTTTCACTGTATTGCAAGGAATATGTGCTATGTTGGCATTGCATAAAGTAACAGAGCTTTTTATTATTTTATTTTACTTCGGTGCATGATAGCTGGGAATCCTCGCAGCCAGGCTGTCTTGTTAAAGTTGAGCTCTGGTCGACGGTGAACATGAATTGACGAACACGGCTGGATATAACTTTATTAACGTTTCTTAATTCCCAGGATCGACAATCTTCACCACGATTTGGTGTTTTGATAGCTATTATACGTAAGTTGATCTGACGACGGTGAGCCCCGTCAACGGTCGCGAAGTCGTGCATCGGCTGCTAAAGTACCATACGCCATCAACATTGCACGGAGCACTAAGCATATCAATTTGGTTATCATTGATAGGCAGAAGTTCGCTAGAGCAAGTGGCAACCGAAAATCAAGAAGCCATAACCTTTGACTCAGGACTTCATTCAAATAAGTC